CCTGTTGCGATATATCAGTAGATGGACCAGGTTGTGAAGCTAATTGCGACTGAATCTGTTTCAGCTCATTTTCATACTTGTCACGCATGGAATCCTGAAGAAAAATAAATAAAAAGGAATTGACCTAACTTTTCACAGAATCTTACCATCTCAATCTCAAGTGCTTTTCTTGATTCTTGAAGCACTGTTTTTTCAGTCAATACATCCTGCAGTTGCTGTTCCAATAAAGCTTTCTAAAAGCTCATTAAAGAGATCAAATCAGTTGAAAAAAGAGTTATGGTCGAACCTCTTCATTCATTTGAGCTATTTCAGCCTGTGACACTGAAAGCCGTTCTCCGACTTCTTTAGAAGACTGAGAGCCGCTCTCAATCTTCGCCGTGAGCTTATCAATTTCAGCAAGCAAACTAAAACATTTGATTACAAAAACAAATAAACAAAGAATTTGAAAAAATGATTTTGCTAGATGGGTGAGATTCGTACCTATCTCTTTCCCTCGTGTAGTTCTCATTTTGCTGATATGCTGCTTCCAGCTCTTGGCGAAGCTGTTGAACCGCTGCACTCCCTTCATTTTGGTTTGATGCAAAAGATTTGGTCTGAACAATAATTGATGACAGCATGAGAGACACCCAAAAAATATACGGAACGAGATTTTGTGATTTTTAACAGCAAGTGTCTGAGGCAGTGTTCAAACAGTCTAAAATAAATACTTATGTGGAAAACTGACTAAGAGTTCCCACTAAACCACTGCCTAAGCAGCAGTGTTAAAACTCAAAGGGATCGAGATTACTGCAACTACGAAAAGACAGGTGTAGCGATGCTTTTCAGTAACCTTATTTCGGCACCACCGTACACAATCTGCGAAAAGTTATTGGCAATTTTGCTTTCGCTAATTTTTATGTGTTGAGGTGTTAGATGCATCACTGTAGACTCTTATGTCAACAGCTTTCGAGCATCTTCAAATGCACATCAAATTCTTTCAGTTCGAACGCACTAAAAAAAGGAATAACAAGCAGACGGTGGAGTGCGGGAAGCATACCCAAGAGGATCTCGTCACGACAGTCAAACTTTGCTTCAAAGAATTTCAAAAGAGGTAAAAACCCTGCTCCAAATGATTGCGGGTTCTTTCAAGCATAACTACTGCATTTCATTGCCATCTTCAAAGTCGCGACGAATTACGTACTGT